TCAACTTTTTTTTTTTTTTTTCACCTAAAGTCGAAACCAAACCCACAAAATTTTGGTTTCTAACCCCTAAATAACAGTTTGCTTGGGTTTTAGCTTTATTCTTTTGGTTAATTTTTTTCTTCCCATTTGTGGTTTTGAATTGTGTAAAGAGATGAAGATATCGATCGAATGGACAGATGTGTAGAAGTGAAAATCCATGACAAAGATATTTGATGAATTTGCAATGCATAATAGCAAAGAGAAATCAAATATCCTCCCACATTTTCTTCTTAACAATAGTATTTATTAGGCTACCCGGAGTGGATAGTAGAAAGACGCGTGGGAGCTGACGTGTCAGCCCCCTTCACGCGTGAACACCGCCCCACCTTCTGGTGGGTTGTTTGTTCCGTGGAGCTGGAGACGGACGAAGACGCTTGATTTGATTGGGGGAAAGCTTTTTGATCGTTGAAGTTTTGACCGTTTGTAAAAAAAAAAAAATTAATTAATTAATTTATTAATTAATTAATTACTTACAATCCTTTCTCTATATATATCAACATTTTTTCTCATTTCAAACACACCACACACTTTGAACACAAACATATACACACATCAAAAAAATACACTTTCCTCCATGGATCCAAACCAAAATAACTCACCCACCCCGAACACCCCAAACACTCCAAATGATCCGTTAGCGAATATTGGCTATATGCAATTGTTATCTTCCCCCGTTCAACAACAACCTCTATTCACCAATCTTTCATATCACCCACACTACTACCAACAACAACCACCACCACAATTTGTTTAATCCCAATTTCAACCCTTTCAACAACAACCTGCTCCGCGATTTCAGCCCCAAACTTCCCAACGTCAACAAAATTCACAACCATCTGAAGTTCCATTATCTGAATCTCAACCCGTAAACCTCGACATTGAAGATGACGACGAACGGGTTCAAGAAACACAACCAAGTCGTAGAAGGCAAAAAAAAATCAAAGGATTCAACAAAAAAGAAAAATACCCAATGGACCGAGGAGGAGGAGACAGCTTTAGCTAAAGCTTGGATTGCCATATCACAAGACGGGGGTGTAGGCAACGCGCAATCGGGACAGAGCTTTTGGAATCGTGTTTTAGACCACTTCCACGCGTTATTAGAAAGGCAAACGAGTCGGACATATGACTCGGTCAATGCTAAATGGCGTGACCTTAGAGCGACGTGTACCAAATTTAACGGCGTATTTGACAATCTAAAAAATATGCATCGAAGTGGTAGCAACGATTTCAACATTTTATCAACGGCGTTGCACCAATACAAAATTACCAACAATGGTAAACCTTTTGGCAACCAAAAAGCGTGGGAAGTTTGTCGCAATGGCCCAAAATGGGTCCTTTATCCAGAAATGGCGCATTCGGGATCTACTACCGGTTCCAACAAAAGGCCGAGAACGTCGGAGTCGGACATCGGTGCTAACCTCGACCTCAATGATGAGTTCGACGCCACCGAGGGGGAGGGTCCATCGGACGTCCATCTTCGTCAACCACCAGGAAGGGACAAAGCGAGAAAGGGGCTTCGTCTAGCGGAAAATCAACCAACGAGGACGTACTAGCGGAGAAAATCGAAAAAACTCTACATTTTTTAGAAAAAAATTTTGATTCAACGGAGGAACAACGCCGGCGACAATTGGCACTCACCAATCTTCAAATCGTAAACACAGTGCCGCAACCAAATCTGGACCCGGAAAATTTAAGGGTGTTTTTGAAAATTCAACAAGAAGTTCTCGACCAATATCGCAACTAGATTTGATGTTTTTTAGTAATTTAGGTTTAATTTCCTAAGTTATTTTTATGTTTTTTTAGTATTTTAGTTTTAATTTTCTATGTGTTTTTATATTTTTCTAGTTTAGGTTTAATATTCTATGTTTTAAATTATGTAATGTGGTTTTAATTACTATAAAATATTTTATTATATTTTAAATTATGTTTTTATCTAATTTAGTCATAAAAGATAAAAAAAAGTTATGTATTTTATAAAATATGTTATTTATTTAATATAATGTTAAAAAAATAAATAAATAAATAAAAAATAAATAAAAAAGTAAATGTTGTTAGTGGTGACCATCTCCTATGTGGAGTGGGTTGGTGGTGAAGGTGACGTGGTGCAGATGTGGCACCACTTTTCTGGTGAGTTGGTGGTAACCACTCTACATAGCCTTAGATCAAGACAAGTATCAAAATTAAGAGAGAGAATTAGTGGATTCCACATGTCAATATTTGATATTAAGTAGGAAGATAAGTATGAACAAATGGTAGGAGGATATTTAATTTTTCAATAGCAAAATGTAGTTGGAATGCAAGTGAACAACCTCACATATTGGTGAGGACAAATTTTGATATTCGGGATAATCTTCAAAATGACCATGTTTATATCTTTTATAGAATATGGGATTATCCCTAA